GAGACTGGAGCCATGAACAGACAAGATAGATCTTTCTACAAAGCTGAAAAAAGCCCCAGGTATGCAGAAAAAAATGAAATCTTTAAAAAAAAAACATACCTTGGGTTAACCCACCAAAATAGAAGCAGCTCCTGCAGCTTTAAGAAAACAATGCCCTCTGAATTGCCATTGTAGGGGTTGCTAGGCAACCACAACAGTATCACCAGCTTTCAAACCTTGGTTTCTGTCAGTAAAAGGAGGGGGGAGGGCCTTTCTAGGGCTATTCGGCCCCCCAGTACCCTCTTGCTTCCCCCCCCCCCTTCCCTGGAGGGAGAACTTGTTTGGGCCAGTAACCACCAAGCAACATGCTACCAATCTGTGCAACTCACCAAGGTGTGGGAGTGGCTACCGCGTGACTAGATTAGGCACAACTCCTCTGGGCCCAGAGGCAGCCTCCACACAACTTGGGTGACTTGACTGGGCCCGGCAGGGGCCACCACACAACTGACCTGAGTGAATCGCGACTGCACAACTTCTGCCACTTGGCCAGACTTTTCTCGAGGAGCAGCTGCCAGGGGAGGGCAGGAGGGACAGCCGAGAGCCAGTGGCAGGCTAGATCTGGGAGACCCAGACCCAAACCCCCACTCCGCCATGGAAGCCTGTTGGGTGACCTTGGGCCAGACACTCTCTCTCGGCCTCATGTGACTCACAGAGTTGTTGTAAGGACAAAATGGAGGAGAGGCGAATCATGTCAGCTGCCTTGGGGCCCCCCCGTTGGGGAGAAAGGTGGGGTATTAATAAAGGAACTAAAAAAGCTGGAGCAGGGAGGTAAAAGGAAGGATGGCTGGCGAGTGGGAAGGAGAGAAGAAAGCAGGGAAAGGAGAGGAAATACAGAGGCTGCCAGGATGAGAGAAAGAGGAAATAATGTGGGGAACAGAGATAGAGGGGGAAATTAAGTTTAAAAAACCCCACAAGTCCTTGTGGGTTCCCCAATTGTCGAACTCAAGGTCTGAGAACTAACACTGTTTCCACGACAGGAGCAAAACCGAAAGACTTTGGATAGGTTAGGAGTTACCCTGAAGAAGTGAGCTGTGATGTCATAAGAGAGCGCGTAGCCTCTGCTGCAGACGTTCTTCTGTAACAGCATCGAGAAGAAACTATTCAGAAGGGAACTTAGATGAGGGACGTATTCCCAAGTCACCCAGAAAGTGAAGTCCAGTCAGCATTTTCATATAAGCCTCCCCCTCCCCCACCGCAAGAGTGAGCTTCTATTCTGTGTTTTGGGCTCCTCCCACTCCCAAGTCAGGGGGTCCTCACAGCAAGCAGAGGTGTCACCCCTCCCCCTCGGATAAAAAGCCAAACGGGGACTGGAATTTTTAAACTAGACTGATAAAGGTAAAGGTTCCCTTGCTCGAAAGTCAACCGAGTCCGACTCTAGGGTTGCGGTGCTCATCTCCGTTTCCAAGCCAAAGAGCCAGCGCTGTCCGAAGACGCTTCCGTGGTCATGTGGCCGGCATGACTAAACACCAAGGCGCACGGGAACGCTGTTCCCTTCCCACCGGAGTGGTACCTATTTATCTACTTGCCATTCCTTGCTTTCGAACTGCTAGGTTGGCAGGAGCTGGAACTAGAGACGGGAGCTCACTCTGTCATGCGGCACACTCGGGTCTCGAACTGCTGAACTACTGACCTTCCACAGCCTGCAGTTCAGTGTCTTAACCACTTGAGCCACCGCAGCTCTGATAAACTAACACTTAATTTCACTCTCTCCCTTAATTTCACTCTCTCCATTCGATCTGTTCTCCTGGGTTAAGAGTGGATGACACAGTGCCACAGACTCCCTGGCACCACCCCTGTGCCAACCCAGCTGATGGGCACAGCTGGCCATGCAAGAGACTTTTACTATTCCTCAAAGATCATTCTTGCTGGCGGGGGGGGGGGATTGGTTGGGAGCTCTAAAAAAGGCATCCAAAGGATCCGATGACACTCCCAGACGGCAAAACTGGAAGCCTACGTCAGCCGCCGGCAGCACGGCTGTCCTCCGGAGCCCAGAACGTACCAGTTCTGTATTCACAAAACAGAAGAAGTCCTCGCAGTCCAAGGCGATCTCTTTTCCTTTCCACCGGGTTGTGATGAGGAGTGACGGAGGGAGACCCAAAAGAACCCTAACGGGGAAAGCAAACAAAAACTGGGTGACCAGGACAAAAAAAACAACAACCCACCCTTGCTTTCATTGTGAGTGAGCTGTGTTTGGGGCAGGCAAAGACTGCCAAAGGCCACGTGAGCTGCGGCACTGGCAGAGGAGAGGCCGAATCATAAGAACATAAGAGGTGCCAATGTTGGATCAGGCCAAAGGCCCATCCAGTCCAACACTCTGTATCACACAGTGGCCAGAAATACCAGGTGCCCTCAGGAGGTCCACCAGCGGGGCCAGGACATTAGAAGCCCTCCCACTGTTGACCCCCCCCCCAAGCACCAAGAATACAGAGCATCCCTTGCCCAGAGTCCCTATCTATACCTTGTGGCTGATAGCCACTGATGGACCTCTGCTCCATATGCTTATCTAATTCCCTTTTGAAGCCGTCCATGCTTGTAGCCGCCACCACTTCCTGTGGCAGTGAGTTCCATGTGTTAATCACTCTTTTTTTGCCCCCAGCAAAAGCAGCTCTTCCAGTCCCCAGATCCCTCTCTCTGGACAGTCGTGTTTTGAAGAGCCGCTTTATCACTTTGCCCAGGCCCTGCACCCTGGACCTGCCAGAGACCGCTGCCCCTTTACCGCGTTTGAAGGATCAGCTCCTGCTGCCGGAGCAGCCTTTCCCCCTCGGCAGCCTCTGGCCCCAGAGCTTTCACCCGCTCCTGGAGCATCCTGAAGAGGAAGTGCTTCTCGGCCGCATGGCTGTCGGCCGGGGCTCGTCTCCGCTCCAGCTCCACCTCCAGCAGCATCTCCTGCAAGGGGAACGGCAGCCGGCTCATATGGCAGCTTCAGCAAAGCTGACAGAGACGAGAAGGAAGCTCCTAGCAAAAGGCTGCCTTATGACCCTGACCGTTCGACCCCGGCCTTCTGCCTCGTGACTAACCCACTTACTAAGTGACCGTAGGTCAACACAGCTGCCCAAACTATACAGCAACCCAGTTTCTTTCCAGTTCTGTTCCTCGACAGCTGGCCTCTCTAACCAACCCTCCAAACTTTCCCCTCACAGTGCTAAAGGCCAGGCACTCGTCTCTCTTTGACTTGTTGGAGATGTTGGCATGCTGGCCCTGGCCGCCATGCTACTGCACATGTGAAGATCACGTGTGTACACCGTTATCAACACGGCATCTGGGACGACCTCCAGCTAACAGACCAGGTTGTAAGAATGGGCTGGCTGTTTAAGGGCTTGTAAAACAGCTTTGCCCTTGGCCTTGACCCTGTGCACTGAAAGGAAACGAGCAGAGAAAGAGACGAATGCTTCAAGGAGAAGGAAAGGAAGAGCAACTCAAGGGCTGCAGCACCTGCAATCGGCAATGAATCTCAGGGCTTCCTCTCAAGCGGGGAACGGAACGTTTTGTCTTCTCTAAGTGGCTGCAGCTGAACAACTCAGATCTGGAATTAGATAAGATTATCAATCACAGGAGTGTCTTTTGTGAAGTCCCTGAAATCTCTGAAGGCACCAGAGGCACCAGTGCTGTTTGCACCAGACACAGAGAGGTGCCCTGAAAGCACCCTTCGCACCCGTCACATCTAATTAGGAGCATATCTTCACTATGATGTAAAAATATAACATTGACAACCCAATTTCTTGTTAAAAAGTGCATTCTTTGGGTTAGTCGTCCCAGAAGGGAGCCCTGTGCTGGTCTGCAGCAGAAGACCATCTCCGAGTCCAGGAGCACCTGGATTTCCGGGGGCGGGAGGGTGAGCTTTTGCGAGTCGGCGCTCCCTTCACCAGGTGCCAGCCTTTGGGTTGGTTGGCTTTCGTAAGGAGGGGGAGAAATTGTGGTGCAGTATTACAGATACGTTGTGGGTGTAGAACACCGGAACACTGATCAAGGAGACAAGCTCACCAATTTAGTCGGCGGAAGGATCAAGTGCGCTGCTGACAAAAGAGGCAGCTTGAGAAGTAACCTGACCAGGTGCTTTGCGCAAGGGAAGCCACCTGAGAAGCCGCCTACCTTTGGCAGGAATCCAAGATGGAGCCGATAAGAACAGCGCACGCCTCTCGCAGGTCCCCCTCGCAGCCCCCAGAAGCAGCAGAGGCCGGGAGGTACCGCTGATACAAAGCCCAGTAATGGTACTCCTGCCTGCAAATGCAAAAGAGGAGACCGAAGATAATGCTGGGGGATCTGTTCACGGCTGCCTTAGGAAGGCTGGACTTCAGTGCTTTCGGGTATCAGGGTATAGGAGACAGAGAGGGGGAAATCCCTGAATTTCTTGGGCAATGATCGATCTGCCTTTGGCCCCAGGGAGAAGCAGGGAGTCATAGCTGGACTTCTGCAAAGATTCGAAGGGTGTTTCCACAAGCAAAAATACAACCTCCTCTTTGAAAGATGCCTGCGACACCATCACAAATTTTCATGCTGCCGTGCCTCCCCCCCCCAGTTCCAAAGGTCTCTCCCGTCTCTCTTTAGCAGTGAGAGGCCAGGTCAGTGAGAGGGAAGACCGTCCTCATCTGCAGAGGACCCAAGCAGCCTGCCTGGTGCTCACTGTGAATATGGGTCCACTCTCTGAGCAGGCCCTGAATCAAACTGAAAGCGGTCTGGCCAATACACTGAGCCACGGGACATTTGCAAGTGGGCTTGGCTGTCCCAAGAGAAGTTTTCATGTCTCTTGTGGAAACAGGCTCATGCCCGCCCCAAGAGCTGAATGCGGCCTGCCTGCATCCTGCCATGGAGCAGAGATTTCGGGGGCGGGGGCGGTCAGTCTCATTCACGCAGACAGAACAGCGGGACTTTGCTGCAACCACCTTTCGGAAGCAGAAAGAACATCTTCGTCGGGATGGACTCCGAGCTCCATCAGCAGCCACTCCTGGAGGGTCAGCTGTAAAAAGGCAAAGCGACTCAGAACTGAAGACAGGACGGCAAGATCCCCAAAACATCAACAGCAGCCATTCCCTGGCCTGCTCTGCCTAAGGCAGACACTGAGGTGCACACCTCAGCCTGTAAGGCTTTAAAATGCCCTGAGCCCCATACATGCCTCTTCCCTCCACCCTTATTCCACTGGGAAGCACACACAGAAAGCCAGACTCCGCAGCTGGGACTGTGGAACAGAGGCAGGTAAGTGGTCCAGACAAGGCAGCATGCACAGCACAAACGCTCTTTGAAAGGGTGGCTGGCATGGATTAACTTTGGGGGCCAGTGGCCGCTGGGTGGCAGCAGGGCAGGCATCATGGGCTCAAAGCTCCACCATCAAAAGAGCACGGCAACATTTCTGACGCACTAACTGGAAAGCCTTGTTGCGTGGAGCACTTTATAATAGCCACGTCTCAAAAGTTGAGAGTAGCCCAGATCAGCTGAGTCTAGATGGGAGGAGAATGTCTGTGCCAGGGGCAAAGGGAGCTGCTTTAAGGCATGGCTTGCAGGTTAGCTACAGTACTATACCTGGAACGTTTTCTCTTGCGAGAGTTCTCTGAAGCGGGTCTGCTTCCACAAACAGAGGACAGCTTTATGGTAGCAGACAGCAGAGTGGAAGAAGGGCTTCCAAGGAAACTCAGCCACATCTCCTCCACCGCCAGTTCCTCGGGCTTCTACACTGAGCCGCGGCACGACATACTGGAGCTGCAAGAGTAAGCGGCACAAGGCAGCGGTGACTACCCCCAAGCCCTCTGCAGCGTCCCATGAGGCGGGGAGGGGCTGTGGCACAGCGGAAGAGCCTCTGCTTGGCAGGCAGAAAGTCCCAGGTTCAGTCCCCGGCATCTCCAGTTGAAAAGGGCCAGGCAGGAGGTGACGTGAAGGACCTTTCTCTGCCTGGGACCCCGGAGAGCGGCTGCCAGTCCGAGTAGACAAGACTGACCTCAATGGAACCGACAGGTCTGATTCAGTATCAGGCAGCTTCGTGCGCATTCGTGTGTGAGGTGCATTGAGAAGGGAACCGTCCTGGATTCTGCATCACTGCAGAGGGGGTGGAACGGGTGGGAGCTCCAGCAGAGAGTCAAGTCCCCCTGCAGGATTTCACCTTCTATATTGATTATCTCCTCAGTTACCTTGGCAACACGACAGGACCTGATTTCCATGGCTCCCTCCCCACCCAGCCGTCCTCAGATTATTGAGTAGCACTGATTACGTCTGAAAACACTGGACTATAGAAATGCTGACTAATTACGAAAGCCGATTTTTCTGAGAAAAACAGAGCTATGCAGAAACCTGAGCTGTCACCCAGAGGGAGTTCATGATACAAACTGCCATTCAGAAGCATGTAAATACCCGAGAACAAATATCTGCAGCGGAACAAAGACGGATTAAAACTCAATCCTGACTGAGCGCCGGATAATCAGGCTCCCTGCCCCCGCAATTACCTTTTTTACAAAACCAGGATGAAGTGAAGTGCATAAGAACTCATGAGAAAAGGAAGAAAACTTGCACAGAAAGTAAGAGACTGCTGCTGTACAAAACCTACAGAAAGAAAAGGAAACGTTATTGACCTCCTATCGCCCCAGTTCCTTCTGGAAGACAAACCACTTCAGAAAATACCAGTAAGGCGCTAGGCTCTGACCAGAAGTCACACAAACAAGTCTTTGCCAGCAGACTTGCAGTTCGAGTAAAGTTCATGGCTTCAGCATAAGAAAAGGTGGCTTCACTCTGGCCCATTTGATGGAAAAAGCGGCTTACCGCATGCAGAAGACTATCGATTCTCCTGTCCTGCAGGGCAAGAGATGATCCCAGAGTTCAGACACAGGGAGGCCCCTGGCAGTGACACCGTGTGGAACCCAGGAGCAGATGTCCACCTCCGGAATCAAAGATTTGGCTTCGTTTAAATGAACCACAAAGACAGCCAGGCCTATAATGTGAGCATCGTTGAGAGAAGGACCCTGCAACAGCCAGAGAGAACAGACCCTTGTAAGGGCAAGCCAGAGTTTAAAACCTTCACGTGACTACCTCAGGCTCTCAACACGCTGGCAAAAGCAGGAGCCAACAGAATTTCTGTTCTCCGGTAGGCTGTCTGCTTCAGACAGCAACACATCACTCAAGGAAACCAACCTGATGATAGATAAGTTGGGAGAGCCGGCTCAGCAAGGAAGGTAAGAGCTGCTGGTGTCCACAAACCATTTTCACAAAGAGGGATGGCCAGACTCCTTGCCTGCAGGGCACACAAGCCATGTGGTCAGATGGCTGCATTATCAAAACCTGCCTTTCCTCCCAGTAAAGCTGGGCCCAAATGGCCTGTGTGTTTTTAACCATGTTGCACTAAGTGTAAACACAGAGTAACTGTTTTCTTACCTGTCCAGAGGACTGAAATAGGAAGCAGCCATTACATTCTGGCAAAACGCTGTCAGCAGAAGATTGACAACCTGAAACAGATGGACATGGCTACGCCAGAGAATTCACACCTGTAGCTGGTCCACACTGGTGTTCATTCCCATCACAGGACTATCAAGAAGGAGGCTAACAGGGTCTGCCGACGAACCAGCTGACAGTTCAACAAACCCAAAGTTGCTGCCTTTGGCTGGGTGGGATCCCAGCGTCTCACTTTCAAGAAATGCTTCTCACTTCGGGGGCATCTCATTATTCCAGGTTGCAAAATGCAATATGCTGTTGCTGGGAAAATGTACGTCTTCCACAAGCTAGTGAGGGCATTACAATTTGGAGAGCTCTCTAGCGCAAATATGCACAGGCACCGACTGGACAGTGTCGGTTACATCATCTGTTCTGTCCCGTCCCCCACCCCACCCCAAAATATAAAACCCTAAGGGAAGTGTTTTGCCTCTGAAGGCCAGGACCTGCATAGGAGCTTTAACGGGTTAGTCATGAGAAAATGTTTGGAGAAGCCTGCAAGTGCATACAACTTGGCCTTTTACAAAAAACCCAAAACACTCCCACCCAATGATGCATGCACACGGGACACAGCAGAGCCTCTTTTCTGTCCCATCTGTCTACTGGAGACTGGAAATTCTGTGGGCAGGGAGTGGGTCATTTATATATTTGTTTTTCCCCAGCACCTAGCACACCATTTAATTGCTCTGGAATTGCTGAAAAATGACTTATAACATTGTTGGAAAAAGTCCAGTGGCACCTTTAAGACCAACAGTTTAATTCTGGGTATAAGCTTGCACACAAAATCTTATTTGTTGTTGTTGTTCAGTCGCACAGTCGAGTCCGGCTCTTCGCGACCCCATGGACCAGATCACGCCAGGCCTTCTTGTCTTCCGCCGTCCTCTGAAGTTTGCTCAATTTCATGTTCGTTGCATCTATGACACTGTCTAACCACCTCATCCTTTGCGTCCCTGTCTTCTTTGGCCTTCAATCTTTCCCAGCATCAGGGTCTTCTTCTCCAGTGAGTGCTCCAAAGTATTTGAGCTTCAGTTTCATTATCTGGCCTTCCAGGGAACAGTCAGGGTTGATTTCTTTTAGGATTGACTGATTTTTTTTTAATCATCTTTATTAATTTTAAATTAATGATCTTCTTGCAGTCCAAGGGACTCTCAAGAGTCTTCTCCAGCACCATAGTTCAAAAGAATCTATTCTTCGGCGCTCGGCCTTCCTTATAGTCCAACTCTCGCAGCCATACAGGACTACTGGGAATACCATTGCTTTGACCATGTGGACTTTTGTTGGCAGGGTGATGTCTCTACTTTTTATCATGCTGTTTAGGTTCGCCATCGCTTTCCTCCCAAGGAGCAGGCGTCTTTTAATTTCATGGCTGCTGTCACAGTCTGCGGTGATCTGGGATCCCAGGAACGCGAAGTCTGTCACTACGTCCACGACTTCCCCTTCTATTTGCCAAGGAGTGATGGGGCCGGATACCATGATCTTAGTTTTTTTGATGTTGAGCTTCAAGCCCACTTTTGCGAAAGCTTCTACCCAGCATTAAACTTTGTTGGTCTTAAAGGTGCCACTGGACTCAAACATTGTTCTATTGCTTCAGACCAACATGGTGACCCACCTGAATGTGTAAAATGGCTGTAAACCGTTGATAAGGACACAGCTTGTTTGGTACTCAAGGGCACTGGGACAGTCTTGCAAACTGGAAACTAGCTTCATAGGCTCAAGGGACCCTAACCAGAAATGGCCTCTACAGCTCCAAAGAAGGCCTCCATGTAAGGAAGCAGCGCATCAGCCTTGATTTACTCATTAAAGGTTAGAGAAGCGGTAGCTCAGGGGTGACCAAGCTGCAGCTCAGGAGCCACATGTGGCTCTGTAAAATGGCTGTAAACCGTTGATAAGGACACAGCTTGTTTGGAACTCAAGGGCACTGGGACAGTCTTGCAAACTGGAAACTAGCTTCATAGGCTCAGGGGACCCTAACCAGAAATGGTCTCTACAGCTCCAAAGGAAGCCTACATGTAAGGAAGCAGCACACCAGCCTTGGTTTACTGATTAAAGGTTAGAGGAGCGGTAGCTCAGGGGTGACCGAGCTGCAGCTCAGGAGCCACATGTGGCTCTTTCGTACAGTCTAAAGGTAAAGGTAAAGGTCTCCCTTGCTCGAAAGCCAGTCAAATCCAACTCGAGGGTTGTGGTGCTCATCTCCGTTTGAAAGCCGAAGAGCCAGCGCTTGTCCGAAGACGTTTCCGTGGTCATGTGGCCGGCATGACTAAACACCAAGGTGCACGGAACGCTGTGACCTTCCCACCGAAGTGGTCCCTATTTATCTACTTGCAATTTCTTGCTTTCAAACTGCTAGGTTGGCAGGAGCTGGAACTAGAGATGGGAGCTCACTCCATCATGCGGCACACCCGGGTCTCGAACTGCTGAACTACCGACCTTCCACAGCCTGCAGTTCAGCGTCTTAACCACTTATTTTTCAATTAAAATGTGTGTGTGATATTTGTTCATGTTCTGCGGCTCTCGAACATCTGGCGTTTATTCTGTGTGGCTGTTACGTTAAGCAAGTCTGGCCACCCTTGCGGTAGCTGCATCATCTCCTGATGCTGCAAAATTTGATACCTGAGAGCCCGCAAAGGAAACGTCGCCTACTCTAAGGCACATGACCCAGAAGAATGCCACAAACCTCTTCTCTTACGATGATGGCGACCAACTGTAATAATAGGTGTCTGAAACAGAGATACAGGTAACACTCCACAACCACAGCCATGCCTTGCAGCCCTTGATACTGGGCTATTCTTGCAGACCACAAAGCTTGTATTTGGTCCAGCACCTGCCTCAGCCACAGGTGTTATAAGCAGAGGGCACTATACACACCTCTTGGTCCTGCTGCTGGACTTCCGGAAAAGAAAGATTAAGCTTGATTCTAAGGCTCAGAGATGCTGCTTCATCCTCATCTTTTCTGCGTCCCAGAACACCTGCCAGTTTCTCAGAGATGACAGCTACCTGAGCAGGCAAAGCTGCAACGCAGAAGAGAAGCACAGACAAGGTGGCTTGGCTTCCAAGAAAGAGAAGACGACAGGAGGGGACATCCGGCAACCCACGTCCCTTTAGCCATAAAAACTCCCACAAATTATCCCATCAGCGAAAGAAGAGGAGGAGGAGGAAAAGAAGGAGGATGGATTTATACCTCGCCCTTCACTCAAGAGTCTCAGAGCGGCTTACAAACTCCTTTCCCTTCCCCTCCCCTCAACAGACAACCTGTGAGGGAGGTGGGGCTGAGAGAGCTCTTTCCAGAACTGCCCTTGAGAGAACAGCTCTGACAGAACTATGGCTTGCCCAAGGTCATCCAGCAGGTGCAAGTGGAGGAGTGGGGAATCAAACCCGGTCCTCCCAGATTAGAGTCCGCACAACCACTACGCCAAAGCTACACAAAGTTTTAACGCCATCAGAAGGAATAAGGAATTTTCATCAAGTATGAATTTAACAGATGATCTGACCACTGAGCAGGATACTCCTGAACTCTAGAAGTGTAGTCGAGTCATCCAAAGAGAATTATGCCAGACCTGCATTTCATGCACCAAAGTGGACAATAAGCTTGCCCAAATCTCTTTCAGCCACGGCCAAGTGCTAAAGCTGCCCAGACTATTCATGTCCCTTGCCTGCCACACCGCCCTGCACCCCTCACCCAGCAGCAGCCGGGCACTTCTCAGATGACCCTTCAAGCTTCATAAGCCAGGGGGAGGGGGAGCCCCAAAGCCTTGCACTGGCCAACTTTGGCCCTTGGACGTCAGCGGCACAGGGTCAGTACGGCATGTATTTGGGCTGCCTGCAGATGCACCACAGCTCTATCTGCCCCATGGCCACCAGCTGACCAGCTCTTGTCTTGCCCTACCCCCCCGCCCCCAATTGTCACAGGGAAATTGCATGTGGGGGGGGGGCTCATCAGCAGTGACCACTTGAACCACAGGCCCGCATCGTTCCCAAGGGAGTCTCAGCTCCCATTTTATTCTCCATGTTTACCATCCTGCCTGCTTTGGTCCGTGACCAGCCGTTTCAGGGCTTCGAGTTCAGCCTTCAGTAGTTCCAGGGGCCCCTTGAGGTCACCTGCCTTGGTTCCAGGATGGCCACCTGCAGAAGGGAAGGCGAGTGCCGTTTAGCCCGGTGGAAAAAGCAAGAAAGAAATGGGTCCTCTCCTCTTGTCGGCGGTGGCCGTATGATGAACAGGAAAACCATCCACCTCCTGAAGAAGCTGGCTGTCACGACTCAGGTGGGGTGTCACCTGACGCTGCCACCACTCTGGATTTAGGTTCCCTTGAGAAGGCCCAGAGCACCCTCCCAAGACCTTCAGACCTCCCTTTTGGCCGAATAACAGGTGTGAGGACCAGGCAGAGTGAGACAAGGAAAAGGTTTATCTTATAGGAGGTCAAACAAACAAGGTGCAGAAATATAACAGTAAGAGGGTGAAAAAAAAAGAAAACAAATGCCCTAACGCGTCTAAATATATACTGTCCCCAGCTCACTATTCCAAGTGACATTAGACGACTCACCGTTCCCTCAGGATGAGGGTCTCTCCCCTGCAGCAGCCTTCCTTCTGGCTCTGCCCTCTTGGAAGAAAGAACAGCCTTTGCTCTGGCACCAGCCCTTTTGTCCCCCAGCCGTCTTCTTCCCTATTGGTCAATTTTGGCTCCAAAACCTCTCAGGGGCTTCTGGGAGTTGTAGGCCCAGCCTCACCTACTGCTAGCCAGGCTCCCTGGGCCTAGTAGGCCTCTGGGGGCACAGCCCAGATCATGACACTAGCAGAGAGAGGTACAGCTACGGATCCCCCCTTCTATCCAAGCACAGGCAGCAGGACTCTGGGCTGAAGAAGCTGCTGGGGGGGGGGGGAGGTGACCCGGGTCTCCATGCTGCGCCAACTGGGGTGAGGGACAGGGCCACATTCTCTCCAAGAAACCAGCAGGCTACCTGAGCAGTATCCTGTTCAGCAAACCAGAAAGTGTCTCAAGAAGGATCTCTCTGGATAGGAACCTTCCCTGAGAGGCCACCCCTCCACAAAGTCTTGCACTGGGGGAGGACTTCTACACCACAAGACCAGCCGTCTCCTCCACACGCCTTGCCGCTCGGCAGAAAGAGACACTCAGCTGGCGACACCCTTGAAGGCACATTTGCCCCGGCTCAGTTGTTGCAAAATCTGTGCTCCTGCAGCCCCACTGCAAGCCGACAGGCTGACAACGCCACTGTCTTCTCTTCCCCAGACCCCCATGTGGCTGAGCATCAGCAGCATCCCCCAAGGGCCACTCACACGCTGCAGAAACTGCCAGCACCGCGGCACTGTGACACACTCCTCCCCCCCCCCGTGTATTGTCAACAGCATCGCAAAGCACACACAACAGAAATTGGCTGCAATGCTTGGGGAAACGCCAGCCTCTTTTCACAGCAATAATGCAAGCAGAGTGTGTCTCATGCTAGGCAAACAGATTTCTCTCACCGTGTAAGAACTTCTCTTTAACAGACTGACATTCTTCAATAAACTTGGAGTACGTATTCAGAGGAATCTTTTCAGCCCTGTTTTAAGGAGACACAAACAAAAGTCACAGTCATGTTTAAGTCGGGCTGTAATGACAGCTGTGAGATGAAGGATCACTTCCCGTCTCACAAGAACAAACACGGCAGCCAAGAACCACCTGCAAGAAGCCGGCTAAGAGAGGCCACCAGGGTTTCCAGTCTCAACTTCTTTACCTCTTTAGGGCATCTATTAAAGCCACGTGTGAATCTGGCGTTTCAGGGAGCTGCAATTTAAAAAGAAGTTTGAATTCAGAAATGTTCATACTGGCTTCTAGATTGTGGCAGCAAGTCACTCCGTATACGTTTCACAGAGAATACATGTCTACATTTTTAAAAGCGTGCAAACAAAAACAGCCAAAACATATAAAATGGCATTTGTCGCCTAGGGGAAAAAATGAAGATACTAACCAAACGCGGCATGAGCAAGGCGGGAAGGAAATGGGAGATGTAATAGGGCCTCCTGAAGACACTGAAAGGCAGGTGGGGCAAAGGTTAATTAAGGCTGAACTATAAAGTGTAGTCAGACAAGAACATGTCCACCTGCACAAATGAACCTCACCAGGCGGAAGGCTAAAACTATCAGGAAAAAAGCCACCAGTCTTTCTAAAGGCAGAGGACGCAGGTGCTTTACTGCTTCAAGAGGCCTGGGACGACACAGTCTCTGGCAATTTAAAAAAGAAAGAAGAGTCGGTTTTGTACCTCACTCTTCACTACCCAAAGGAGACCCGGAGCGGCTTACAATCTCCTTCCCTTCCTCTCCCCACAACAGACACCCTGTGAAGTAGGTGGGGCTGAAAGAGCTCTGAGAGAGTGGTGACTGGCCCAAGGTCACCCAGCTGGCTGCATGCGGAAGAGGAGTGGGGAATCAAGCCTGGTTCTCAAGGTTAGCGTCTGCCGCTCTGAACCTCTACACCAAACTGGCTCTCAGATCACAGGGGAAAAGCCAGCACGCCAGCAGCCTCTGCACGGAACCTAAAGATGCCTTTTTTTTCTTATCAAGGATGTGGAGAAATGCACCCCCCCCATTATAGAGTTCACCCCAATATTTCAACCACTGGGGCTTCATTCGGTTTACGAGTTGAAACCCAGCTGTGAACTAGTAGCGGGGAGAAAGGAGAGCGCTTTAGTGCTTACAGATGCTACAGGGCTCTGGCCAAAACAGGACAATGACTGACCCTCTCACACCTTGCTGGAATGTTGCACCTCAAGGGACAGAGAGGGAAACAGCCGAATGGCCAGGGTGGATGCTCTCTTCCTCTGTTTCGGGGGTAGCCGTGTTGGGCTGCAGTAGAACAGGCTGACCTTGCTGGTCTCTAAGGTGCTTCCAGACTCATTTCTAACTGTTCTCTTCCCCCGAGTAGCAGGAAAATCTGAACTACCCCCATGGCGGCGGGTGTCTTTCCCAAGGGGAGGTTATAATTTCCCGGGACACGGAGAAGACATCTTCCAGCTTCTGACAAGGGAGAGAGAAGCTACCTGGTGACTGCCGTCTGAGGGGCATAACCCACCCCTGCCTTTTCTGGACCAAGCCCCACTGGACGGACAGGGGGCACTGTAACGATTCCATGTTTTATTGTGTGTGTGTCTTTAAAAGTGGTTTGTATGGATGTATGGCAGACTAGGATGCTGAACTCAGGCAAGTGATATGATTGGTGAGTGACAGAGAGAGGGAGGAGTTTTGGAATGAATGCTGTGTGGATGAACCGATATGTCAGTCAAGAGTAACAGTTAAGGATGACAGTTAGAGAGTTCTGAGTTACAGAGTGGAGATACAGTTAAACAGTACAGTTAAACAGATAAGAAGAGGCTTCCCTGTGTGGGTTGCTTAGTTCGGAGTAAAACAGTTAGTCAGACAGCAGAGAGTGCTGTACAAAAGCAGTTAATATATTAGTTTTGTCCTGAGGTCTCTGTGTGAGACGGTTCCTGTGTGAAACATAAGAGAGAAGTCTGGTGTGTGTTAAGAAAAGTTAAAGCATAAAGAAACAGTGACCATATATGGCTAAAGGAAACTATTGTTACATAGTGACATGCCCAGAGCCCTGTCAGTGAAGAGAAAAGTGTGTGAAACAGCAAATAAATCTACTTTTATTTAAGATAACAGTTCTGAACGAAATTCCTCAGGAAATAACACATAGTCCTTCATGAATGCCTAGACCCTGGCCACATTACCAAACCAGAAGAAGAAATATATTATAGTAAGAGGCTGGGAAAGCCTTAAATTTCCCTGGTGGCGGCGAAAATACCCTACAGAGTAAAATCATAAGAACTTTTAAAGGCAAATCAGACCTCCCCAAATAAGAGGTCGTCACAGGCACGTTCTTCGCAGAAGGCACACTCCTGCCCAGCAGCCGTCATGAAGCACAAACGGCCTCCAGTACTGTTCCCATTTCAACTCCTCCTCCTCTCTACTTCCCCCCCAGAATGTTTTTGAAACACAACTTAGGGGGTGGGGGGCTTAGATGGAATACCTGGCTTCCAAGACAACTGCCGGAATCTTCCCCGTGTTTTCGAAAATCTGAACAGCCTTTTCGACATCCTGAAGTGCCTGGCAGTGGGGCTGACACAGAGAGGTGACAAAGAGGAGAGAGAAAGATTTCATCTCCTTCTGAACAGATTATTTAGACTTCCTTGAATGTTCATTTGCGCTTTAGATTGTCCTGCCCACCCAGGGGAGTCGTGAACGACAGCCCCAGGACAGAAGTACACAGCCCGTCTTTTGGAGTAAAGATGTCCAAGTATCCCTTCTGATTCATATCCATATAACGTCTTGGGAAGGACTGAAATAGGCAGATCTACCAGCTTGCGTTATGTTAGTCTGTTAAAACTGTTGATGTATGTTGAAAACTTTGGGGGTGATTAACTGGCTGGTTTGTAATTTTGGGCTCTCAGGACTTTTGTATACTGTTTTGCAGTTATTGTATATGTTATAAGTTATACTTGATCTTAATATACATTTGGAAGAAAAGAAAAGAAAAGAACTAGGCAGATGTCAAATTAATGCCTGGTGCAAACGGGCTTTTAGCAGTGGTCACTGAACACTTTAAAAATGGCAGTGCCAACCAATGCAACTTTGTGAGGTTCAACAGGACCCAATAAAAACAAAGGCACCTTTCACCTGGGATAGCTTAAGATACTGAAATGAGAGATGCCTAAAAATGACACTTGGACAATGCTCCCTCTAAGCTGTGGAGTCTTGTGAGCAAAGATTCTACTTTGTGAGCTACTGGCGTTAAAGTTGTGAGCGAGCGATTTGGCTACTGCATAAATCAGCTTGCTCTGAAGCCATCCTTCCTGAGGTAAGACAAAAATGTGTGAGCCAGAGGCTAAATAACTGCAAGCCAGCTCACACTAACACAGCTTAGAGGGAACACTGGACGTGCCTCACATGCCCGTAGTTGCACTTTGTTTTTTCTCATGCTCAGACAACCAGTGTACAAATTCCCGCAGCTCTTCAGCCAGCGCCAATGCCACAATCAAATATAGAAATAAAGGAGTGCCACAGTCTTGGTTTGGGTAGTTCAAACAAGACTGCCATGTATGTTTCTGTGCCCTGGACATTCAAACAAGTTCAAACAAGACTGCCATGTATGTTTCTGTGCCCTGGACATTAAACTGGACACACAGGAATACTCCACTACTCTTTTCTGAGCACAGGCTGCAAAAGCTTACATCTCCCCTTTAAGCATGTCTTTGAGTTCTAAGCGGGAGGAAAGAGAGCTGGGAAGGAAGGAAGCCCCACTGATGGACCTCCTGGGGGTACCTGGCATTTTTGGCCACTGTGTGACAAAGTGTTGGACTAGATGGGCCACTATCCCAACATTGGCTTCTCTTAAGTTAACATCTTATGGATAAACATCTGGAGCAGAGGTCCATCAGTGGCTATTAGCCACAAGCTATAGATAGGGGCTCTGGGGCAAGTGATGCTCTCTTCTTGGTGCTTGGGGGGGGGGCAAGAGGGGGAGGGATCCTCATGTCCTGGCCCCACTGCTGGACCTCCTGATGGCACCCGGTATTTTTGGCCACTGTGTGATACAGAGTGTTGGGCTGGATGGGCCATTGGCCTGATCCCACATTGGCTTTTCTTATGTTCTTATAGGAACTCTCAGTCTGGGGCAAGTGATGCTCTGTCTTCTTGGTGCTTGGGGGGGGGGGTCAACAGTGGGAGGGCTTCTGGAGTTCTGGCCCCAGTGCTGGACCTCCTGATGGCACCTGGTGTTTTTGGCCACTGTGTGACACAGAGTGTTGGGCTGGATGGGCCATTGGCCTGATCCAACATTGGCTTCTCTTATGTTCTTATGCTGCCTGGGACGCATCCCTGCTAAGAGAGGGAAGCCGGAGGGCAGGAGACAGAGGCCTGGCACAGTCCTTGAGAGAAGGGACGCCTCCAACCTTGAGCCCAGTACAGGAGAGCCCAGAGAAACCCAAGCCAGGGCCTGAGACTGAGCTGTTTGGAGACTGCCCAGCAGAGGTCACCGGGGGAAAGGCAGGATGGTTCAGGGGCTGACAGCTCTTCTCTGCTTCACCTTCTCTGAAACCCTCTTAGTTTCCCCCCTCCTCTGCTCCTTTGAGCTTCTGTTCAAGTTCACTCAAAGTTTATTTATTTTACCCTAATTTTTTAGTCACTGCTCACCCAAAGGCAACTTGTGGCAACTTACCACATTAAAACCAATAAGGTAAAACATAAAAACAGATAATACAAAACGTAAAGGTAAAACATAAAAACAGATAATATAAAACGTAAACATTGAAATATTAAATAAATATGTGGCTGTCACCATACCACCATTAAAACATTTTTTTCTGCTTTATGGACATCGCTGGGCAACCAGGTGTTCCTGCTTTGAGGTTTTACTCTTTTACCATGTCCCTGTGGACAGATTTGCACGTAAGCCACCCTGGGCCCTCTTTGACGGTGAGCACGGGGGGGAAGGTGGAACGTAAACATTTCAAAGAAATAAATCCACAGGGCTTATGGCAAATGCAGCAGAAATCAGCCCGGGTGGCTCTTGGGTACCTGCAGAGCATCTTTCGTGGAAGATAAATCCTCATAGAGGCCCATGTCTTCTATTGCAACCTGGAAAGAGCAGCACAGTGGATGAGGAAAAGGCAGAGAGCCCAGGTCCAGTCCCAAATCCTGCCAACACTTAGTCCTGGCAGAGATGAGAGCATGTGCAGAGTGCCCCTCCTGCCGCCCTGGAGGAATGGCCCAGCCTCCAGCCACATCTGAGATGGGGGGGGCAGCCTCCAGGCAGAACTGAGCGCTCTGTGGAAAGCGGGCTCTGGAAAAATGACTAGAAAGGGCTTTTTCACTGACCTTGAAATCTGCCAGCCGGGTTTTGGCCAGAGTGATATATTCCAGAAGAAAGGGGCGGTATTTAGCAGGCACGAAGGGAGGATGCATGATGTGGACCTAGAGGGTTCAGAGCAAGGTTAAGCAAGCCGGCAGTCACGACTCATCTCTTGACAGGCGGCCCACCTTTCTCTCCGGCGCGGGTGCCTGCGGAGCTCTTTGCAGGCCGAAGCAAAAATCAGAACCAGAGCAGGACGGCCGCTCAACAACAATGAAGGCAGAGGTGCCTCTTGCACCCTTTGGAATGTAGGAAGCAGGAAGGAGCAGTTGCAAGAGTACCAAGTGCTTAAGCCTCCCTTCAGAACCCTGCCATGAAGTCTGGTGGTGGTGGCTACAAGCATGGACGGCTTCAAAAGGGAATTTGATAAGCATATGGAGCAGAGGTCCATCAGTGGCTATTAGCCACAAGGTATAGATAGGGGCTCTGAGGCAAGTGATGCTCTGTCTTCTTGGTGCTTGGGGGGGCCAACAGTGGGAGGGCTTCTAGTGTCCCGGCCCCACTGCTGGACCTCCTGATGGCACCTGGTATTTCTGGCCGCTGTGTGACACAGAGTGTTGGACTGGATGGGCCTTTGGCCTGATCCTACATTGGCGTCTCTTATGTTCTTATGTTCTCTCCCCAGCAGCTCAACACAGCACATGCCCCATTGCACGGTCGCGCTACATTCTTGAACAGCAAGCGCAGGATAGCAGCAGCAGTTCCAGCCTGCCCTGCAACACAGGAGCCAACCAGAAAGCTCTGAATGCCTCGTTTGGGAAGGGAACGCAATCCGGCTGTCCAGGGTCTCAAGTGACTGTTAAACCAAAAAGGGCCATTGGATTCCACAGCCTCTGCCGGCCGCTGCTCACCTTCAAGTACTGCGGAGCTTCAAAGGGCACCAGCTCTGACAGGAACTTGAAGAGGAAGACCATGGCCTTCTTGCTGCTGCCATGGAAACCACCGGCACTCCCAAAGGCAAGCTGAAAAGAGACGGCAGTGCCTTTCAGCCAACGTGAAGAAGAGCTATTTGATCCGGCCACTTCCCGCTTGCAGAATGACCAGGTCTTTTCTTTTTCTTTTTTTAAATAGAAAACAGTCATTGACCAGCATAAACCGTGTAATACCATTGATATGACATCAAGGAATCTCATCAACAATGTATAAACAGCAATATTTAAAACACTAAAATGGTTAAAATTCTAATTCTAATACACTTTGTAGTATCGCTTGGCGCATTTTATACGCAAGGGAAAAGAATTTCACACTAGAGGCTGTGACTGTTGGGTTAGCACCCATAAGAGGCATTTTGCAAAGCTCTGTGCCAGAGCAACCCAAAAATTTATTAAGAAGGGGGGAAATAATCTTTATACGGATTTCCTGATAGAAATGGCAATGTAATAAAACGTGTTTGATTGTTTCGACCTCAGCATCCCCGCAAGGACATACCCTCTCATGCATGGGAATCTTTCTCAACCTCCCCTCTACCACTGCAGGACCAAGACAGGGGTACCTCTGCCTCGCCGGTACCTTCTGTATCTTGCAGGCAGCCTTTTCGCTAAAGGCAGCCTTTTGAGGACAACATCTCGTGCGGCTTCAGGCTTCCGACCCACCATCGCACTGATCTCCTTCTCAGTTGGTTGTTCTAGCTGGGGTCCCCTTATGGAGTTATACACCTGAGTTCTTCTCCTGACCTTTGCCCTTGAATGAACGAGGACATGCACACAAGCGGCCACGCCGCCTCCTTCTTTGTAGTCTATCCTTGGCTAGTCCCGGATCTGTCCCAGCCAAATGCCAGCCTTCTTCTGCCCCACCTCCCCACTCCCACAGAAAGCCCCTGCAGACGTACCCTTGTCCCCTGCCTACAGGTTCTGCAGGCAGCTTCCCTTACCTTGAACCATTCAGAATAAGGCATGAACAGAGCAGGGCCCTCAAGGGCCGCCTGGCGGGCGATTAAGAACGCCGTGATCAAGCTCTCCAAGTCATAGTTCTCAAAGCCTTTTCTCAACAGGTGGCCCAGGAGGTCTAGAAGAAGTACAGCGAAATCCCCAGATCAGAATCCATCTCTGGGGAAACCCTGATCCGAGGTAACCCTGGCAATATGATGCTCAACTGCAGCTAAAGGCCACTTCGAATGTTCCTGGTCTTGGCAATGAAAGAAGCTGGGATTATGAAGTCCTGCCCGGAAACGGGAGGTTCAGAGGACACTTTTGAACCCAAGTTCAGAACCTCTCGGTATTCAGCACAGTTGCCTTTAGTGGCTACGTGTGTCCGGACTGTAATGGTTCTCCAGCTCCGCAAAAGAGCCCTGCAGCCCTGGGGGGCCAGGAAGGTCACTCCATCAGAGCTGCAGCGGTCTCTAGCGGGTCAAGAAAACATGGCATTGGGAAGACTGGCCTTTAGCGCAAAATCCTGAAATGCAGTTCCGGCATCACCCAGCCCAAAATCTCAGTGCCACAATTCTGAACAGGCAGGCCTGTCTTTTAAAGGCGAAAGAAGAAGAGAGCATCAGCAAAACAGCCAACATAATCATGCCCCTGTATAGATCTATGGTGCGGCCTCATTTGGAATTCTGCGTACAGTTCTAGTCACCACATCGCAAAAAGGACATTGCAGAGCTGGAAGAAGCACAGAGGAGGGGAACCAGGATGAGTAGGGGGTTGGAGCCCCTTCCCGATGAGGAAAGGCTGAAGAGTCTCTGGGACTTTCCAGTTTAGAAAAGAGACAACTTGGGGGGGGGGGGAGCATGATAGAGGTTTATGAAATTATGCATGCTGTGGAGAGAATTGGAAAAGATAAATTTTTTCTCCCTCTTCCAAAATACTAGAACTTGAGGGCATCCAAGGAAGCTGTTTTGGGCAGCAGATTCAGGACAAACAAAAGGAACTACTTCCTTATGCAGTGAGTGATTAAAATGTGGAATTCTCTGCCAGAGGACGTAGTGACGGCCACAGGCATGGACGGCTTTAAAAGGGGGTTGATTAATAGCTTCATGGAGGAGAGCTCTATGACAGTGGCTGCTAGCCATGGTGATTAAAGGGAACCTCCACATTCAGAGGCAGTCAACCTCTGAATACCAGTGCCAGGAAGCAACATCAGGGAAGACCTTTATGCCCTGTTGCTGGACCTCCGAAGGAACTGCTGAGACAGGACGCCAGGCCTGGTGGGCCACTGGTCTGATCCTGCAGGGCTCTTCCTGTGTTCTAAGCCAGGCTCCCATAGTCTAATCCACAGACGTGCAATTGAATGCAGCTGCAGCACAAGGAATCCCGGCCAGACTTGGGAAAAGGCATCAGATTCAAACTGGGACTATTTGGCAGGAAAAGGAGGTTCCCTCCCTCGGGACTATTTCTGCAGCATTCGGTCAGGCAGCCTCTGGTGCCAAGAGGATGCCGGCGGTTTTGCTACGCCTCCATCAGACATCAGCGGCTGCGATGCCCACTGCACAGCCGCTATCTCCTGCGCCATACCTTTAACCAGCTGTTCTGCTTCAGCACGGCAGACCAGCAACGTGGAAATGCAGGAGAGCACGTGATGCCAGCTCACTTCGTTTGCCTCCAGGACCTGCTGCAAGTGACCTATCAGCTCCTCCGCGCTGAGCACCACAAACAGCTGGAAAGGAGACAGAACAGGGGCCTCCTGCTGGAATCGAAAGACACCCAGAAAGCCTCCAGAGGCTATTCTCCCAGGGCCCTCCCAACTTCACCCAACTGGAGAAGGCGAATCACCAGTTCTGCACTCCTAATACAGGTCTGTATTCCTAATGAGCGCTTGGCCCACCAGGGAGCCCCTGCAGGACAGACGGTCCCCTCTTGCTTTCATAAAAGCATTCAGAGATGTCTGAGGAGAGTCGTAGGGTTTCCCTTCCTTGCTTCCTTTTTGCAAAACCGAAAGGTATTGGTCTCTTTGTAGACGCCCACTGCTGAGCGGCAAACGCCATCTTTCTGGCATCTCCTGCCCTGGGGTGCCACTGCCCATTTTTCACTACACAGCAGCTGGTTTCGTATAACAAACTGGCGGCTCAGAATCGGCAAAGGCTCCTGTTGTGGAGTTTGGGGCAGAGAAGCCAAAGGGCTCGGTTCCTGTAGTCAAGCCATCAGAATCAGACGAGGAACACATATTTAAAAAAGCAAAACAGAACACCAGGGTGATTCTGAAACTATGGCTTCTTTTAGATCACATGGGACAAACAGCCATTCGGTATCTGATGAAGGAAGCTTTGACTCTTGAAATTTTATACCCCCAAAATCTTGTTGGTCTCCAAGGTTCTACCAGACCCAGATCTCACCGTTCTACTGCGGACCAGCATGGTTGCCCTTTGAAACAAACTGGTAAGTAAGGCAAGCTGAGAAAAAGGATGCCGGAGAAATATATATAAGGTGACTATATCTAATACACACATCTGCAAAAAGCGAAAAGCCTCAGACAATATCCACACAGTGCACAAAGTGCAAAATAAGCACACATAACAATGTAAGCAAAACAGTACAAGCGATGAAGATTCCGGATTACAGCTTCGTTTCGTTCAGTTTTCTTCTTCAGGGATATATTGCACCATGATGTAATGTCTTCTCTTACCAAGGTGAAACATCAGTGTATAATATTCAATCTTGATATAGAATGACCATCAAAGTGGTAATCTTAATTGGGCACCAGTCAAAAATTTGAGATATAGTATGTATGTATGGTGTGATCTGGTCCATGGGGTCGCAAAGAGTCGGACTCGACTGTGCGACTGAACAACAACAACAAATGTATGTTTGTACAAGCGCTGGAATGCCTCCATGAGCTCCGTGAGCTCAGATTTTTGACTGGTGCTCAGTTAAGAAGATTACCATTTTGATGGTCATTCTATATCAAGATTGAATATTATACAGTAATGTTTCACCTTGGTAAGAGAAGACATTACATCATGATGCAATATATCCCTGAAGAAGAAAACTGAACGAAATGAAGCTGTAATCCGGAATCATCGTCGCTTATACGGTTTTGCTTACATTGTTGTGTGTGCTTATTTTGCACTTTGTGCACTGTGTTGATATTGTCTGAGACTTTTCGCTTTTTGCAGATGTGTGTATTAGATATAGTCACTTTATATATATTTCTCTGGCGTCCTTTTTCTTTTGTCTTTTGCTGAGAAGGCTCTTTTTGTACATATCGCTTTGAAACAAACCAGCATTCCTTCATGAGGTTAACAAGCTTCAAATCCCTGAGACTCCCCCCATCCCCGAACTATCACTGAAGGCTTCCAAGTTCAGTAAGCATTTGGCCAAACTCTAATTTCTCGTGATACTCAGACCTGGCTATCTTTGCAAACTAGGGGTTGTTCCCAACCACCCATGTGGTGAGAGGGCTCGATTAGGATACGGGAGCCTTTATTTTAAATCCCCTCTCAACCAGAGAAGTTGGCTGGGTGGTCTTGGGCCAGTCACGCCCTCTCTCAGCCTCACCTCAGAGGGGGAAAACAGGGCAGGGAGAGCCACATAGACAGTGCCCTGAATTCCTTTGAGGAAGGAAAGGTAAAACTGAGATAGGTAAGATAAGGATCAGAAGCTCCTTCGCGCCAACCACCAACCCAGGTTTGTTTGAGACGTCTGAGTGCAGCCAAGAAGTTGCTCTGCCGAGCCCACGAGCAAGACTTACTTTCTGATACAGGGTGGAGAGCACCGTGCTGTTTCTTGCAAAGCTCCACTCTCGCTGCAGGCTGATGGCATCAGAAACTACATTCAGAGGAGAGACAAACAGTCAGGGACTGCGGGAGAAGGAAAAGAGCCACGGCCTTTCCTTGCCGTAGCTTCACCAAATGGGTCAGGCTATGATTTCTAGCACCTGCAGGAACTTTCTTGTACAGGCCAGTCCCCAAAGGGCAGAGTCATCAGCCAGTATCATAATGCCCCAGTATAAATCAATGGTGTGACCACATTTGGAGTACTGTGTACAGTTCTGGTCACCACACTTCAAGAAGGATATTATAGCATCGGGGAAAGTGCAGAAAACAGCAAGTAGAATGATCAAAGGGTTGGGACACTTTCCCTATGAAGAAAGGTTAAAGCCCTTGGGGCTCTTTAGTTCGGGGAAATGACGGCTGAGGGGGTGACACGATCGAGGTTTACAAGGTTATGCGTGGGATAGAGCAGGCTGAGAAAGTGGTACTTTTCTCCCTTTCTCACAATACAAGAACTCGTGGGCACTCCATGAAATTATTGAGCAGTCGGGTTAGAACAATAAAAGGAAGTCCTTCTTCACCCAAAGAGTGATTAACATGTGGAACTCACTGCCACAGGAGGTGGTGGCAGCTACAAGCATGGACAGCTTCAAGAGGGAATTAGATAAACATATGGAGCAGAGGTCCATTGGTGGCTATTAGCCACAAGGTATAGATAGGAACTCTCAGTCTGGAGCAGGTGATGCTCTGTATTCTTGGTGCCGGGGGGGGGGCAAGAGTGGGAGGGCTCCTAGTGTCCTGGCCCCACTGCTGGACCTCCTGATGGCACCTGGTATTTTTGGCCACTGTGTGACAAAGTGTTGGACTTGATGGGCCACTGGCCTGATCCAACATTGGTTTCTCTTATGTTCTAAGGAAACCTGGAATTTATATCAACTGTGAGTCCATATATCCTTAGGGCAAGTCAGTGCTGGAGGCATGAAAAATCAGAAGTCCCCCCAAAGGTGCTTAGAAATGGGACTTGTGAATTAGCAAGGCGGCACAGTAATGAGAAATCTCAGGCCAGCCCCCCCCCAGGACCCTCCTGCACGGCTTTGGTCACAGCAGTGGCATTCCCGTGGAGGGGCCATGGCTCAGTGACAGAGCATCTGCTTGGCATGCAAAAGGCCCCAGGTTCAATCCTTGGCAGCATCTCCTTTTGAAATGATCAGGTAACAGATGATGGGAAAGACCTCTACATAAAACCCTGGAGAGCTGCTGCCAGTCTGAGTAGAAAAGAGTGACACAGATGGACCGAGGGCCTGGCCCAGGACAAGGCAGCAACTCGTGTGTTCCTGCTGGAAGGGCCTAGCTCAGGCTCTTTTTGTAGCAGGGACTCCTTTGCATATTAGGCGACACACCCCTGATGTAGCCAATCCTCCAAGAGCTTACAGAGCTCTTCTTACAGGGGCTACTGTAAGCTCTCGGAGGATTGGCTACATTAGGGGTGTGTCGCCTAATATGCAAAGGAGTTCCTGCTACAAAAAGAGCCCTACAAGCCCTCCAGAAATGGGCCGCAGGATGCCCCTCCTCTGCAGGCACACGCTGGCTTAGAGCTCATCCCTGCAGTCCTACCTTTTAGCTGAGGGTTGTAAGAAAGAACGTGGGTGAAGGTGTGGCTGAAGAACTGCTGTAGAGCCTCGGGAGGAACGGTGCCTTGAGATGCTGTCAAGCTGAACACACCGAGCCTGTCAGTGAGGAGGGAGGAACCGGTAAGCGCTCACAAACGGTGACTCAGCACATACCGACGGCTGTGATTAACTCCAATTCTCTCACTAAATCAACATGCACCAAGGAGGCCATCACAATGTGTGTAAATATTTATCATTTAACATTAATGATGTATGCAAGGCAGGGAAGAGTTCGCCTGGGCTTTTTCCTCCTCGATATGTACATTTTAACAACAGTGAAACATGAAATGCCACTTGGAAGAGAAATCAGGAAACGGGTTCACACTCATTCATTTCCAAGAAACTGAACTAACTGGGGCTGGAGGCAGAAAGCTCAGGGGAAGTTGTTGGTAAAAAGGTAAAGGTAAAGGTTCCCTTGCTCGAAAGCCAGTCGAGTCCAACTCTAGGGTTGCGGTGCTCATCTCCGTTTCAAAGCCGAAGAGGCAGCGGCGTCCGAAGACGTTTCCGTGGTCATGTGGCCGGCATGGCTAAACACCAAGGCGCACGGAACGCTGTTAGCTTCCCACCAAAGTGGTACCTATTTATCTACTTGCAATTTCTTGCTTCTGAACTGCTAGGTTGGCAGGAGCTGGAACTAGAGACGGGAGCTCACTCCGTCTTGCGGCACCCGGGTCTCGAACTGCTGAACTACCGACCTTCCACAGCCTGCAGTTCAGCGTCTTAACCACTTGAGCCACCGCAGCTCCCCGTTTTTTGTTGAGGTTTTTTTGTTGTTGTTTTTTGTTGTTGGTGGAGACTGCCAATTGTAGCTTTAGGATGACATTTGATTAAAGCAATCTTAAACTGTGATTTTAAATGTTGGTTTTACGTTTTGTATGTTATGTATGTATTTTATTAATTTTGGAAGCCACCTGAAGCTCCGTAAGGAAGAAAGGCAGCTAATAAGCAGGGCTCCCTCTAAGCTGTGGAGCCCTGTGAGCAAAAATTCTACTTCGTGAGCTGCTGGCATTAAAGTAGTGAGCGAGCAATTTGGCTACTGCATAAATCAGCTTGCTCTGGAGCCCCGTCCTTCCTGAGCTAAGACAAAGAAATCTGAGAGCTGGAGGCTAAAAAACTGTGAGCTAGCTCACACTAACTCAACTTAGAGGGAACACTGCTAATAAGTATTGTAGATAAATAAAAAAATACCCAGAGAGAAGTTCCTGCATCACAAGCTCAAGGGGCAGGATCCAGCAGGCACAGCGTTGCAGAAATCCTCTGTATTTCCAAAGCCCCTACCTGGGATTACCCACAGGGATGCTAAATGCAGGCCTCACAATGCTGGCGCAGACCTCCCCCCACCCCCCGACCATCTATCCCAGCTCCCCGTTTCCATCACAAGCCGGGCAGAAGGAAAACTAGGCCACTAGTCAGAGGGTAGCTACTTCCTTGTTCCCATTCCCAGGAAAGGGATCATACTGTCCTCTGAGAGCAGAACAGTCTGCTTTGCAAATATTTTGGGGGAAGAAGGAAACTATAACTGAAGAGGCAATATCTCATCCCATTATCTGCCCTCACACACACACCATTTCCCTGGTACCAGAACCATGAACAATAACAACAACAACAACAACAACCCTTTGCAATTCTCTAGAAAGGGGCAGGCCCTTACCAACACTTCACGGCCCTCAACGTAGAAGCATCTTCTTGCTTTTCTTTGGCAGCAGTATCAAGTACCCCTAAATGCAGGAAAAGAGTCCTTGGGTGAATAAAAGTTAGCGAGAATTTTGCTTGCTGAATGGGGGGGGGGACAGGGGGCATATTTCAAGGTGGCCTAATTAGGAAAAACGGAATGAGGGCCAGCTCATTAGTGACAAGGAACAATTCCTTCAGATTTGGAACCAATTATCCCTGACCTCAAACCACTTAAAGTGACTCAGTACGTGCTAGGCGCTAAGGGGCTTTCCTTTTGGAAAGACGGCCCTAATATTTGCATCGTAGAAATAGCTAGGGCAGAACCCACTGGGAAACTCTCCTGCATGTTCCTCACAAAAGCAAAGGTGAACTGCACATAAATTACCAAGAGCACCGCACTTTACTTAATGACTGTTTTATACTGTTTAATGATTGTTTTTATGTTTAGTCGTTTTTATGGCAATTGCCTCTGTTGTAGCCGCCCTGAGCCCGTTGGGGGAGGGCGGGGTATAAATCTAATAATAAATAAATAAATAAATAAGACTGACCATCAACATGCCAACATCAGTTCTGTGTAAGAGTAGCACATTAGAGACAGGCAGTTTGGATACCGGAGCCAGTGTGGTGTAGTGGTTAAGTGTGCGGACTCTAATCTGGGAGAACCGGGTTGGATTCCCCACTCCTCCACATGTACCTGCTGATGTGACCTTGGGTCAGTCACAAGCTCTGGCACAGCTGTCCTTGAAAAAGAGCAGTTTGTGTCAGAGTTCTCTCAGCCCCACCCACCTCACAGGGAAGGGAAAGGAGTCTGTAAGCCGCTCTGAGACTCCAAGTGAAGGGCGGGGTATAAATCCAATCTCTTCTTCTTCTTCTCAACAATAGAGCATAAAACATGGTATGAAACTGCATCAACACCATTCATGGGTCAACCCCAAAAGCAATGCAGTTAAAGCTGCTTCCGTTTCACATGACATCTCCCTAAAAGCTAACTACAGCTGCGGTCACACGGAGCATTTGCCGCGCTGATTCGAATGGTAGGCGGATTTTCCAGGCGCGATCACACCGCAACATCTGGGAAGCATAGAGCTCTCGTGGCTAACCCGAGGCTTCCCGCTGAAGATGCGGAGTAAAAAAGCTAGTACCTCCAAGGTACTAGTTTCCGGAAGCCGCGGGGCAAGGGCGGGCGTCTGATCGTGTTTCTGGTGGACTTACGTGGCATCCGGCACCCGCCGCTGTTTGTCGCACACAAGGGGTTTTTTTGTTTCCCAAGTCTCCGCAGGTTGCGCAACAGCGCCCAACAGCACATGCGCACAAAGAGCGATTGCTCGTGCAATCACGCGGCGCGGCTTCTGTGCAGCGCTGCACGATACCCGTCTGGTCGGCATCTCCCCCCCTAACCACGGGACCTCGACTGGGACGTGTGCTCGAGCGGCCACACATTAGTTTCCTCCGGGGTAATTAGCCACACCTCCCCCCCGCGATATCCGGCCCGAGTGACTGGGGCCAACGTACACTGCGTGTGCAGCCACACCCTGGGGACTCTTTGTGTGAAAGGGCGGATTGGGGCCCCACTTACATGCCAGCATTCCCTCCAGCACAGCGCAGCAGATCTGTTTAAAAAGAAACACGATAAAAAAACTCCATTTGCCTTTTCTGCCCATCTCTATTCAAATGGGCAACACCCAAATGCCAACTCCTAAGCTAAAGATTAACTGCAGAGAGAAATCTGTGCAGCAAGTCAGAAGAACAAGCAAACAAATGAAATATGAAAAAGGAAAGAAAAACACATCTTGCCATCTCTAGAGTCTTTCTAGATTGTATGAGCTTTCGAGAAGACTTGCACACTCACAAGTGAAACAGGGACTCTCCATTCTTCCTTCATATTTACAAAACTACAAAAACTGTTCTACCAAAAACAATAATGCTGAACTGTTGAACAAACATTCTTACTTTGGAGAGGATTGGCTGCGATTCCAATTTCCTTCCCATCTCAGACGTTTTCCGGAATCCATTATGAAGGAACATGACCCCAAAGTCTACACATTAAGAACAAGACCACTGTTAACATTCCCTTGTGTCTGTCGGGACAGATAAAGCAAAGGAAGAAAGGGCCAGAGAGGAGTCGCCACGGTCACGGTCCTGCTCCACACTTGCCCCAGAGAGGAACCATGCGAGGAGGAAGAGAAAGCAGGTGAGCCAGAAACGAATGGGTTTCCTTCCATACTGACTGGGAGCCACCCCTTAGCATATGGACAAAATGAAGCAGACCTGAAATTGCTGTAAGAAAAAACTGACTTTCCTCCAGCCTCCACCCTGCAGCCCCTGGTCATTAAAAGGTAACAAAGTCACTGTTTTCAACCTGTGCATCCACATCCCCAAGGTCTGCTCTGGACGCTTTGCCACTAGTGTTCGAACACACACAAACCCTCTAGGCCAGTGGCCTTTAATGTCTGGATCAGGACCTGCAGGTGGATTGCAGAGCCCCCGCTGCCAAGAGTCACCATTTCTGCTTCTTTCTGGAAGGGCCTGCTGCTAATATGCGTGCGTAAAGAGCAAGGGTGCCGTGCCACCTGCCTCCCCCTGCGTACATGCTGAGAGGGGAAGCGGGACAGTGGAGTGAGGACATTCGGGAGGAGGAGATTCCTCCACGGCTCAGACCCTTCGTTGGTTCCTCACTATGGTTTGCCTCCTGATGCTTGGCTGCCGTTTCCCACGCTTGGCTCTCGCAGTCTGCTGCATACCGTCTTGGCCTCGATCCTTCTGAGGCCATTAACTCTGGCTCCCTTGCTTCCTGTCTGGTGACTGTGACATCACTCTTTGTGTGAAAGGGCGAATTGGGGAGCGGTGGCACAGAGGATTTATCCTCTGGTTAACATCTGAGCTGAACAGAGCTGCTGTCAGTTCTAGCCCGCGCTGGTGTGAGCTACCAGCCTTGTCCCCAGCTCGCCGTCCACCCAGCGGTTCGGAAGCTTCGGTGAGTAGATAAAATGGGTACCACTCCTTAGAGAGGGTGGGCACACTAAACCCTCCCCCGGTGGGGGAGGTGTTAGCCGGCGAACGGAAGGTTCAGCTCATAAGCTCAGAAGCCTCAAAAAAAAAAAAGACCTCTTCAGCATTAAGAAGCCTGTGATGAGCCAATCCGGCCAGGTGGTGGCAGTCTACGACTCAAAAAGCAGTCCTGGAAGAACTGACGTCATCTAGCCACGCCTAAAGTGAATGCCGTCCGGAACACGCCTGAAGCTTACAGCTGAACAAAATCCCCGTTGGCTGCAAAAGTGTGCGATTTAAAGAATTATATATGTTGTCCTCCCTTACCCTATGAAACATTGTTAGTCCCGTGTGAAAACTTGTGTAACTGTAAATCGCTCAGAGCCAGCAGCTCTGCAGGATGAGCGATCAATAAATCGAAAGGTATTATTATTATTATTATTATTCATAGGCAGCAGCCTTTGGCTTACAGGTAGGTCCCAGCTTTGGAAAGGCAGAGAACCAGTGCTCCAGAGCAGGGGCGGCCAAACTTGCTCAACGTAAAAGCCACACAGAGTAAACATCAGATGTTTGAGAGCCGCAAGAAGTGAATAAATATGACATGTTTTTATTTGGAAAATATGCAAATTTGCTTTTTATCAACGTTAAAGGAGACTGCCAAAAATAATAACAAAAAGGGGTAAAAGTAGATATTGATAATGACATTTATTTGTCCAATGATATTTGTTTGCTAATGATATCGAGCTTCCCCAGCCGCCCTGCCTGGAGCCGCACAATATGTGTGAAAGAGCCGCGTGTGGCTCCCTAGCCACAGTTTGGCCACCCCTGGTCTAGAGTATATCCAGTGAACAGGCAGGTAATTCCTGCAGCTGGGGTCTCAGGCCTGGTTTCAGAGGGGGCAGCAAAGGGATCCCACGCCACTGCCAACTCTGACTGAGGCCGTGTTCGCAGATCATGAAGACATTAACTGAAGTACAAAGTGAAAGACGGGGAAACAAGGACTGGTCAAGGAAGGCTAAGAAAGCAGTTAAGTTCCCATCACTTACAGGGCAGGGCAGTCATCAACATAGCCTAGTCCAAGGGCTGACCTGATAGAATCATAGGGCGATTTCTCACTAGAGCTGCCTCGCAGCACAGCGCCATTTGCCCCAACACAAACATGTCAATTTCACACCTGAGGCTGCAGGGCTGCATTAGACTCGGGGCTTCGCCTGATTTCCTCCGCAGTTTCATGATCCTAAAAAACCAGGATCACGAAACTGCGGAGGAAATCGGACGAAGCCCTGAGTCAAAATGCAGCCCTGCAGCCTCAGGTGTGAAATTGACATGTTTGTGTTGGGGCAAACGGCGCTGTGCTGCGAGGCAGCTCTAGTGAGAAATCGCCCTATTTCGGGTGTGAAATTGACATGTTTGTGTCGGGGCAAACGCGGCTGTGCTGCGGAGGCAGCTCTAGTGAGAATCTGCCCATAGTGTTGGAAGGGACCTCCAGGATCATCTAGTCCAACCCCAGCACGATGCAGGAAATTCACAAATACCTCCCCCTCCACACCCGCAGTAACTGCCATTCCACACCCGCAGTGACTGCCGTTCCACACCCAGAAGATGACCCAAAAAACCCCTCCAGGATCTCCAGCCAAACTGGCCTGGAGAAAAATTGCTTCCTGACCCCAAAGCGATGATCGGGCATTTCCCCGGGCGTGTAAGCAGTAAGCAGGAGCAGTTGTGTGCGTATCCCAGCCAAAACCAGCCTGAGAGTGAAGGGAGGCCTGACACATCTTCCAAGAGAGCAGAGGTGGAAGGGCAGCATTCAGCACTTGCCAGGCGGCCCCCAAGCGACGCGCCCAGGGAGCAGCGACCACCGCCAGGATCAGCAGTGCCTGTGTGACTTCGCATGCAAGAGCTTGCCTGTGAGAATGCCTTGCAGGGCCTCTGTGTCCAGGGAAGCACCTCCTGCCTGACGGCACAGAAGACGGAGGCTGCCGCACAGCCAGTCCTCCAGGGCAGACGTGTCTGGGTGACTAGGGAAACAAGAAAATCAAAGGAAGTTCCTCTGCTCTTCCCAAAGACAGCCTGGCCCCTAGCCGGCCACGAGACAAATCCCAGAAAAAGACACCACAGTCCTACAGCTCTGCCTCAGACCGCTACTTAAACAGCACCGCTTCACTACTCTGAAGGCAAAGAGGGATGCATTCCCTGCGTACCTCAACTTGGTGCAGTGGTTAAGAGTGGCGGACTCTAATCTGAAGAACCGGGTTTGATTCCCCACTCCTCCACATGCAGTTGCTGGTGTGACCTTGGGTCAGTTACAAGTTATTTCAGAGCTGTTCTCTCAAGGGCAGTTCTCGAAAGAGCCCTCACAGGGTGTCTGTTGTGGGGAGGGGAAGGGAAAGGAGTTTGTAAGCCGCTCTGAGACGCCTTCGGGTAGTGAAGGGCGGGGTATGAATCCAATCTCTTCTTCTACTCTTCTTCTTCTCCAGTGTCCTCCTGGTTAAGGGAGGCCACCCTATCTCTGGCACTTCCTTTAAGCACCCTTCGTTTCCAGCATTACCTTAGCAAAGGCATTGTGGGCAGGTGGGGTGGGTCCTGGCTGTGTGGCCAAGGATCCTGGTATGGCAGGTAAGGGGGGCAGCCACTGGAACAAGCGTTCCCTTTCAAAAGCCGTCGCCTGATTCACGGCTGATCAGCAGCAGATCCGCAAGGGCCAGAGGGCGGGGTGCAGCCATGCTAACACATGGATCAGCTCCCCTCCTCCCACGAGAATGCCGCCACCTCCTCCCCCTCCTCCCCCTCCTCACTTGAGCAGAGGAGCTGCAACAGGGCACACGTGAGTTGCAGCCCTGCCGTTAAAGGGGATGTGGAAAAGAGGCAGTGAGGATCTATCCGCTTCCAGCTCCAACCTGCGCAAGAGAGGAGCTGGGGAGAGGGAGAAGAGGGGGGCGAATTAGAACCTCCCCTCTCTATCTGAGGCCACACTGGAGGCTGAGGGGTCCAGGCAGGTGGGTCCAGGACACATCCTGTGAGAGAGGCCCATTGGCCCAGGGAGCAGCTTAAAAGTGCAAGAGAATCCAGCCACTGGAACACCTGTCTGGCGCCATCCCTGACTCTCCACATGAATACACGAAGCGGCCTTACACAGTCCATCAAACCCAGCAATGTCCCCTCCAATGTGTTTCAGGCAGAGAACAGCCTGTCCAGCACCCTGCAAGTGTAGGTGCCAGGGACTGAACCAGGGACTACTTGCACACAAAGCTGGCGCTGAGTCCACTGGACTCTGACCCCTGGTCGAGGGCTGAAGGGGAAGCTGTGAAGGCTGGAGTCTTAAACCTGCACCTTAAGCTGCTCAGCCACATACCACACAGTCCTGGCTGCGTTTCACTGGTCTCTCACGCTGGATCAGGCGCTTGGCTGGTTAGGAAGGTCTTAGTTACTCCCTGCCAGGGAGCACTGCAGATTTTGCCTGACACCCTGTAAGCAGCCCAAGCATCTTCTCCTTCCAGAGACCAGAGACCCAAGTGCTGCCATCTGATGGGCCAATTAAGAGCACATGTGCAGCGACAGGATGTCTCCACTTACTTCTCCAGCAGCTCTTCCAGGCTAAGGATGCCTTCTCTGTGCAGGTGCCAAGCAAGCTCCAGGATGAGGGGGCCCTGGGGGGGAAACAGGGCTCAGAGAAACCGCACAAGAGGGGCCGAGATTTACCCACCAGTCCCAATAACTTGGCCAGCAGCCTGGGAATCAAAGGCAGCCGGGGCCCAACTTCTCACCACCCGCCTCCTGCTGCTTCGCACCTTGCAAACATCAAGGCTGCTCCCAGCGAACACGTTAACAGCTGCCACGCCATGAGATCAGCAACACGAGCAGGCAGACTGCACTATCGCAAGAGCCTGCGGCCGACAATAGCAAGAGTTTAACTGACACACACACTTAGGAGCCAGTTATTGTCCGCATTTTAAAGAAAGGCAGTTTCAGCTGCGGGCTGGAGGATGAGAGGATCCTCCGTTTCTCCTGAACAGTATTCAGTGTTTTTTTCAACATCCGTACAGCCGGTATCAAAAGCAGCTAACCTGCACATGCAAGCACTTCAAGACCCCGCTCCCCCACAAACAGAGCTCTTACCCGCATTCTCCAAAGTGCCTGAGCGAATGGCAAACGGCAGAAGGCGTTGCGTGCTAATAAATCTCTCAAGGTCTGAAGTAAGCAGGACAGCTTTTTCTGTAAATGGGCCATAACGACAGCAACATAATCCAAAATTTCAGTCGGTTGTCTGGCTTCTAAACTTTTATTTGATACATTAATACATTGACATTCTGCATATATTTACATACTGCATAAGCTTTGATAAAAGTATGGTTTGGAGCATCCTGAAGGAACGGGATCATCTCTCAGGACTGAAACAAACTCTACCATGTCCCTAGACAGGAAGGCCTTCTTGTTCATCAAATCTGGATCAAGAAAGGCTCCACGTTAGAGTAACTTAACAACAAAAAAAGATCAAGGATATTATGGAATGTTTTACAGTGTATGAGTTAAAATAAATGTAACACCATAACCTTGAAAGGCAAATTATTCAGCAGCTTTAGATTAAGCCTGAAGGATGACCACTGAAGCTGCGCTCCACAAAACAAGCACCACAGAAAAAGACAACACGATTGCATATTCTTGTGAAACAGAGGTGAAAATAGGTTTAATTGCTAAAAGCTTTTTAATTTATACAACCAGATAAAGAACACATAGAATAGTATGCAAGAAATATTTGATATGGCATTGTTGACAATAACACTGTAATAAGAAAGAATACTAATTTATTGTTGCAACTTAAGTAATATATTGGCATTTATTAGTTTGAGAAACTCTGTAAAATGAATTGATATCTATGGATCTATGTACCATGTATCCTAATGAAAACATCAATTAAAAAAAAAGAAAGCAGCTAGATTCAAGCCAAGCAGTGCCTTTGTCCAACAAGATTTTAGGGGCAGAAGCTTTCAAGAGTCAATCAGAAGGAGGAGGAGGAGGAGTTTGGATTTATACCCCGCCCGTCACTCGGAGTCTCAGGGCGGCTTACAAACTCCTTTCCCTTCCCCTCCCCACAACAGACACCCCGTGAGGCAGATGAGGCTGAGAGAGCTCTGACAGAAACTGCTCTTGTCAGAACTATGGCTTGCCCAAGGTCATCCAGCAGCTGCGAGTGGAGGAGTGGGGAATCAAACCCGGTTCTCCCAGATTAGAGTCCACGCACTTCACCACTACACCAAACTGGCTCTCGAAGGGGGCTCTGACTCTCTAAGCTCCTACCCCGAAAATCTCATTGGTCTCTCAGGTGCTCTTGGACTCGAATCTAGGTCTTCTACTGAAGACCAACATAGGGCTCTCCTCTGGAACTACCCCTGAAAAGAGTAAGGCTTCAGTCCTAGGGGAAATCCATAGGACTCAGCCACAGGTTTCTTTTTGATCAAATCTGGTACGAGGAAAGGAGGGAACTGATACTCCAGTATGGCCTAACCAGGCAGGCAAGGCACTTGAGCCCCAGAACGTTATGGGCCACCAGCCTAAATTTTTCTCCACGGTTAACACGTTCCTCAACCGAATGCACAGATTGACAAAGCTAGCCACCTGCCAGCATGCAGGCACACGCGTCAAACCCAGCAGCCACTTTGTGACTGGCTCAGGAGATTAGCAAGAAAACATGAGGACCTAAAGCCAAAGGTTGGAACCCTGCCCTGTTCAGTGACCCAGATCAGCCGTTCCCAAACGGGAGGGGAAACTGGCCCTCCTGTGCCAACTGCCAACCAGCCGACAGTACAAACTGAGTTGAATGCAGCCCAATGAGCCAAAAAGCCCCACAGCAGGAGGAAGCTCCAGGTGAGCCCCACACCAAGACAAACATCTGTGGGTGCATCCAGCTCTGTGCAAAAAAACAGGCCGCCAGCCTCAGCCTTTAGCACCACAAAACCAGAGCCTGCAAGAAGTGCCTTTTTCTCCCCGTTTTGGTGCAAAAAACCCACATCATTTCCGCCTCACCCTCTGCTCTGCATTCAGCAGCACAGCCTTCCCAGACTCTGCAGAGATCGTCTCAATGTTGGCAGCTGCAGTTCTGGCTGACAAGACTCCGAGTGGCACGCCGAGCACGGAGGCCTCTTCCTGCAGGGCAGGGACTAGAGTATCAAAGACGACAGGGAATTAAATTTCTAGCCTTACTTATTTATTTAAGCATTTATATCTTGCCTTTCGTCTTGGCTCAAGGTGGCTTAAAATAATAGTTAAAAACATTTCCAGTTCAAACAAAAGTAAAACAGCAAAAACCCAGTTCTCTCCCCACTCTTAGCAAGTGGAATCAAACTGACTCCAGAAGGAAGGGGGAAACTGATCATTTTTCTGCACCTGCATACTTCATGTATTGCTCAATGTTAACAATATCAATTGTAATGTGTCCCGTGTCCTACTTCCCCCCACTTGCAATTTGTGCTGTATACCCAGATGGTATTGGGGTCATTTTTAACCCCTGTTGCATTGAACAGAAATGGTAAAACTGACACAATTATATTTTTGTAATTTTCTTTGCTGCTCTTCTAATCCTGTAGGGCCAAACAAAAACACTCGACGAAGTACCTCCCCCCCCCCCTTTTCAGCTAGGGTTGACAAGTCGCGGCGGGAGATTGTATGTCTTCACAGAATCCGTGCCGCGGGGAGGGCGAGACACGTTGCACCCGTTGCCAGGATGTCAATGTGTAGTGTCATGTCCTGACGACGGCGGTGCAATGCGTCTCGCCGCCCTCGCGGCACGGATTCTGTGAAGACATGCGGATCCCCCGCCGCGATTTTGCAAGATTTGGTAAGCCTATTTGCAGCTGCTGTCATGCTCTATGACAACCTTCCACCACCACCACCCCAGATTGTTTGTTTTTCAATTTACTTCTATGACTTATTTTGGGACTATTGAACCACCTTTACCAGATGCCAGGTACGTTATTGGTCTGTTGAAGTGTTTAATCTTTATTTCAACTAGCTTTTGATGGCAGCGCCTGACACTTCTCATAGAGGGTCATAACTCCATGGCGGCATACATGGTTCAAACACACATACCATCTTGAGTTTAATACCTGACCATCTCCAGTCCACTGCCCGATAGCGGGCAAGATGGACCAGTGGTCTGGCTCACTTATAAAGTGGCTTCACATGTTCAGAAAATCACAGAGAAAGAATGCGACTCGGAGACAGAGCCCATGTTTTTGTTTTCAGAACATCCCAAGCAACACTCCCTCTAAACTGTGGAGTCTTGTGAGCAGAAATTCTACTTTGTGAGCTGTTGGCATTAAAGTTGTGAGTGAGCGATTTGGCAACTGCATAAATTAGTTTGCTCTGGAGCCAACCTTCCTGAGCTAAGACAAAAAGGTGTGAGCTGGAGGCTAAAAAACTGAACTAGCTCACACCAACTCAGCTTAGAGGGAACACTAATCCCAGGTTTCATTCTTCGCATCTCCTGATGGAAGCACTGAGGCCACGGGCCTGGGAAGGAGCCCAGAACCGCCACCGCCCTTCGTATCTGGTGTGCCGCACGAAAGGGACTGTTGACCCAAACATTCTTAGCTCACTGGATAAACTAATTAAATGTTTATTTAACACATTCTTTTCCACTCACCCACAAGCGATTCAGGAGCTGAATCTTCACGGCCGCCAGTGCACAAACCATGGGAATATAATGGCTTGTCACATTCTGAACTTCCCACCTGTTGAAAAGAGAAGAACCATCTTGGGTTTATTACACATTTATCACATGACCTGGTTTCCATTTGGGCTATTCCACATGTGGCATTTTGACAACCTCAAAATACTTGCACAAACCAACACCACAAGTATTTTAGAATCCAGAAAGAAAAACAACGAACTTCTTCAGCAGAAACAACCTCTCAAAGAAAGAAAAAACATTCCATAGAATATCAAGACGCACTCAGCCTAAACCAGTGGACTCAGTGGGACTTACTTATGAGTAAAGAAGCCTCATAGACCAAAATGATTTACAATATACGTGTGTGTGTGTATAAAAACACACACTGTAAAGGAAAGGTCACAGGCAGTAGCAAAGTGACTCTTTACAAGTCATCACTGTCTCCCAAATAGAATTCAACTCCCATGCAGGAACTGCAATTTAAAAAACAAAAGAAAACAAAACAGAAATGAGTCTCTCCTACTCAGCTCTGCCATCCACCCCTTACCTCCAGCAGGAGCTCACTCAAATTCTGATGACAATTCAAAAGATGCAGAGCCGCCTCTTGTAGCTCTTGGGCAGTTCTAGGTTCACAGGTCTGTTTCTTAGCTCTGTCTGCTAGAGAGTGAGAGAGAAAATATTGGCCTGAGAAATCAAGCCACAATTGTTTTAAGCTGGTGTTTGTAACGGGACTAATGTGAGCTGGCCACCTCTGAAACACCTTCTCATAGAGGACATTCCGTTCCTGGGTGGCACTTTCCGTCCTTTAGTAGCCAAGCCCTGGAGACCACTGATGCAAGAGACACATGTGGCTCTTTGGCACATAATGTGCGGCTCCTGGCAGGGCAGCTTGCGGAAGTGAAGAGGCATATTTTTTCTCCTTCCCTCTCTTCCTTCCCCCTCCCTCCCATTTATTTGCTTTCTTTGTTTCTCTCTCCTCTCTTTCTTTCCACCTCTCTTTTTCTCTCTTAGACAAATAAATATCATTATCAATATCTGTTTTGACCCCTTTGGTTTTTATTTTTGGCAGTCACATTTAATGTTAACAAAAAGCAAATCTGCATTTATTTTAAATAAAAACGTGTGTGTAATATTTGTTCATATCTCGCAGCTCTCAAACATCTGATGTTCATTCTGTGTGGCTCTTACGTTCAGCAAGTTTGGCCACCCTTGGCTTAGACTTTCTGGAGCCTGGGGAGCCAGTGCTTGGGATTTTCCCAGCCTACGACAACCTCTACATCAGAGGTCCCCAACATGTTGCCCACCGACAACTTTCTTGATGCCCACCACATAGAAAATGGTTGGGGCTGTTCCCCAGCAGGGCTTCTGGCTGGCCACTGAAGATCCAACTGGCAATGCAAATTAAAACAACATTCTTTCAGCAGCACCAACCCCCACAGTGTTCGTTTTATTCTCTCACTCTTGTTTCGCAGTGTATTTTTTCAGTCACCCCTCTTCTCACAAGTCTCCACAGCTTAGAAGGAGCATTGCTCCTGAGCAGTGTTCCCTCTAAGCTGAGTTAATGTGAGCTAGCTCCGGCTCACACATTTTTGCCTCAGCTCAGGGAGGGATGGGGCTCCAGAGCAAACTAACTGATGCAGTCGCCAAACCGCTCGCTCACAACTTTAATGCCAGGAGCTCACAACAAGGAGTTTTGCCTACAAAACTCCACCGCTGAGAGGGAGCATTGGGCACGCCCCCCCCCCCCCCCGCACCACCTCTGGCGCGCGCCGGGCGGAGGCAGCGCGAGAGCGCCTCTGAGCGTGCACAGAGTGAACACCGACGCCTACCCAGGAGCGCGGAGAGACCCCGGCCGGCTGCGGCAGCACCGCTCCCCTCCATCGCTCGGTGGGTCGGTCGCGCCGTGCTGGACCTCTCCGGGCTGCCCCGCGCGCGCCGGCCCCGCCCAGACAACCAACCTGCGCGCGCTGCGCTGCCATTGGTCGCCGCAGGGACGTCGTCCTTGGCCAATAGGACAGCGGGGTGGAGGCGCGCCCTCCCCCGGCGGGTTGGCAGCCATTCCGGGAGTGGCGGTAGAGGAGGGGAGGGCGGGGCGCGGGCGCCACCTTGGTTGTGGCACGCACCGGAAAGCCCCGCTCCCGCCGCCGGGCGGTCCTTCGCTGTCCTGCGGGCCCGCGGAAGGAAGGGGCGTCCGTCCCGTCCTCTTATTCTGTTGCACTGAGGCCGCTGCAGGAGATGCTTTGGGTGTAGCCTGAGCTTGCTTGCTTTTTTCTTTCTTTTTCTTTTTTAAAATTTTTTTATTATATATTCAGAATATTAACATATACAACAATTTCTGTAATAAACATTTCAGAGTAAGTAATTTGTAAGTACATGTTTTTTTTAGTAAATTTGCATTAAGCATAGTGGAGAATAATTGAAACATTGTACATTAAAAAACATTAATACAAGTATATAGCTTGAGAAGACTATACAATCAAGAGTAACTGTTACAAGTGATTATGTAGAGATTCTTTTTTGATGTTCTACTTCAAAAGTTTTAAATGACCTTACTACCTGAAAACCCTGATCCAGTTGCGACTGAGCAATGTTTTATGATATGGGTTTTCAGAACCATTTCAAGGATTCTTTCCAAGATGGAGGTATGTATTCTTCGATAGATAAGACAGAATTGGAAACCACTTTACACTGAACGTCTTAATTTAAGCATTTTTAAACTTTAAGGCGTTTCCTGAGCTTCCGATGCGCCACTGGAACGAGAGTTGCCGTCCTTGATGGAGACCGATCAAGGGAGACGGCGGAACTGCGACATAACGAGGCTCAAAACAAGGCGTCCCCCTTGACTGAACCGAGACCTCGGCTTCCCGTCTCATTACCGAGGCTGATTTCTCCACGCCTAGTACTGCCCCTCTCTGCATATCACACCCAATCCAACCAACCTTGCTATCGCCATTTGGCATCTGAAATCACTCCACTTGCCAATGTGTAGAACAGGCGGACTCACGTTCTAGCTTGTATCTGAAGAAGCCAGCAGGTACTCACGAAAGTTCCTCCCCTGCCCCCAAATTCTGTTAGCGTTTAAGGTGCTCCTGGACTCTTGCTCTTGTCTACTTTCTTAACCAGTTCAGCCTTCCCCACTGCCTGGTGTCCTACAGAGGAGATGGAGATGAGAGCCTGTGGTATCGTTTCCTCCTCTTTCTGCCCCCTCCCCCGGCCACACACCTTGAGGAGCTCAAAAGTTTGCCCACTCTTTGGAGGTTTGGGGGTTGCTTCTAATAAAAGATGAGGCCCAGCATTTGCTTTGAGGCTACCCTGGCTCCTTGTGACCTCTTTTTCTTCGAGAAGGGATGGCTCTTGCGTTGCTGGGGGGTGCAAACATAG